CCCACCCTCCCCGCGGTAAAAAAGGAAGGATCCTTTACACGAGGAAGGTCATTGTCTTGTGACACGAGACTCTAGAACCATACTAGTGTTTCTATCTTTCTCCATGCCCAGTCTCCAGGCCTGTCCTAAGAATCCCCCCCACCCGAAGCTGCAGTAGTATTGCTTCACGACTTCACAAACAAATCAACACGGACGAGCCGACGATGATCAATAATCAGCTTATCGTTCACGTTATTTACAATGACCTTTAATCTCGTTCCACAGACATATTAAAACGAACGAGACGAAAGGTCCCATAACAAGATGATTACTACCTCCTGACGATGTTGTTCTCCCTCATACAACTCCTGTTACCTCCAAGATGATCTGGGTTTTATTCTTCGTCTCTTTGGTCGGGTTTGGAGTTGCAAATGACACAAAACCAAGAGGTAGGAGGCTCTTAAATAATATATGATAATCTTCCTGACTATATTATGTATCATTGGCTCTTGACGTCTGATTTTCACGAGGTACTTCAGTAAGTCACGAATCTTTCCTCCATAATCTTTTTTGTTTGTTTGTGAACTTTTTTTAGGGATTCTTAGTTTATTCTTTAACGAAAACCGAATTGGAATCAGTATAGCTGTCATAATTAGTTTTTTTCTTGAAAGGTTTCTAAATGCATCGAATGTGGTAAACTGATTGTAGCTTGTCACGAAGCCAACAAACAACAAACAGTAGTTGAAAGGAGACGAAAATGAGAACAAAACATGAATCTATATAACTATACTGATTTAAATTTGAGAAAACAAAGATATATAGAAAACAGCTATATATGAGAAATAAGTCTTAACTCTAAAATAACAAGAAATTCAAATTTAAGAAATCCAATTACAAAAAGAAAAAAAAAAAAGAAAGAAAAATGCAGCACTGTTCTGGGCTGATCTAAGTAAGGGCACTGCTATCTCCATGACGAACTAGAATTTAGCGTGTAGGGAGGGAGAAAAAGACCTTTGAATTCCCGAATTCGAATTCTAAGTCAAGATAGAACTTGATAAATACAGTAAATGATATAAACGCAAGATCTGGGAAAGAACTACATGAAAACCGAAGAATCCTGAGAAAAAAACCTTAAATCAAGGAAGCGGACCTAACAAACTCTACTCATATGTAATGCAGAAAAAAATGTAGTATATAACGCATTATGACTTACTTGTCTGTGGTCCTTTGATAACAGAAAAGCAAAACCCAGACTGGTAATACAAATAAGRTAGATTTATATCAGGTGTCCTTCAAATTGTGATATAATTCGGTATTCATTCCCGTCATGGTTGTATTAATGAGGTAAGGATATTTGTTTCTTCTTAAGTACTTCTCTTGAAGCGCTGATCAAATCTGATTAGAATTGTTAGTGGGGTCGGTAGTAGAGAGAGAGGAGAGAGCGTAGAAAAGATGATGTGAGGCAAGTTGGAAAGAAATAGAAAAAGCAAAACAAGAATGAAGAAAGAAAGAAAGAAAGAAAGAGGGATAGTGGGAGCGGTATAAAGGGAGAGATGGGAAAGAGAGAAAGGAAGAGAGAAAGTAAATGAGAGAGAAAAGGAGAAAAAAGAAATAAGAAGGAAAATGAACTGAGAGGGAAAGAGAAAATAACTTTCCTTGAAACATCTTGTTTTTCGATTTATCCTATTATAAACAAACCCCCGTCTAGCTACAAGACGTAATAAGAGGATTTCTCTACAAGGAATTCAAGTTTAAACCTCTTAATATTGGTGATTACTTGAAGATGGTTTATCAATTATAGATTTTGGACTTGATATAGGCCGTAAATAGCTGGTGCGTGTTTAGTGTTTGTTGTTGTCGTGCTCTAATGTGGTAATGTGTTTGTTTGCTCAGTTGTGTTGTTTAAAATATAATCTGAATAAAATATATTATGGGATTTAGAACTGAAAYATTTTTTGCGGAGGGAAAAAAACTTAAAGAGAACCGGGATAAAAGCCTTCAAATAAACCCTCAATATTCCCTTCCACTGTTCCCTGCGCCATCTTGAAAGGTAGCTGTGCCTTTGCATCGAAGCGAGACGAATGGTGAGCTTTGCAATGATAGAGACCTTTTTTTAACACCTTGGACAATTATTCACAGGTCCCTATCGTTGCAAGCTCACCGTTTGTCTCGCTTCGATGCAAAGGCACGGCTACCTTTCAAGATGGCGCAGGGAACTGGGAAGGGGACTATTTTATCGAAAAAACCTGAGACTACCTCTAGTCAGCGCACGGCTCACAAATTCACATATCGAATAGGACGTTTGTATGATGGCGTCAATATTTGACTCCCCCTACCAAGATGCTTCGAGAAYTTTCTTTCTTAATTAAATTTGTATTACCTCATGAGAGTAGTAAGACAATGGGTGCTAATTAACTGAACAAAAGAAAGTGTGCAAGGGAGCCTGGTAGTAGAGGTCAATGACGCCATCGTGCAAACATCTTATTGGGATTTAGCGCGTTAGGTTTCGTTAGGTTTTTGGAAAACCGCTGAAGCTGGAGGAAAACCCTTGAATCATAGCGAGCTCTTCAAAAAATCATCAGGCGGGAGAACAAACGCTTATGTTTTAACAACACTACTATTAACAATTTCTTTTTTTTAAAACAAAAATCTTAAAATATGTTTACAAAAAACTAACTCCTTGGATTTTGTCAACAAAAATGCACATAAGTCTTAGTTTAAGTCTAAATTAAGGATTAAAAAGCATCTTCTTTTTCTGTAATTCTAACGTTATTATATTTGATCGACTCACTTGTCTTAGTGTATTTCTGTGTTTGCTTTCAGGCTTCTTTACGAAAGTTTCTCATTTTTTAGGCTTGTTGGCTCAAAAAATCCAGACCCTATTGTTGCTTTGGATTTTTGTTGACAGCTTTAATTAAAGCGCTAGAAAAGAATAAATCTAGTGTTGCTATTGGCTCTTGTCCCACTCTATGTTTACTGCTGGGTCGGTGTGTCAAATGTCTTGACAAACAATCAAAAAAAGATTCCAACTTCTTCAAGAACATTGTTCTCTTCATGTTAACGCAGTCTGTAAGCAAACTGAACTTGCCTAGACTCTAGACAGAATGACCTCAACTTAAAATATTCTTTTGCAGTCGATTGTAATGACTTGAAAGGATTATTTTGAGATTTGCTGGCAAAGGAAGTTCATCTAAATTACGTAAAACTACTTTCTTCTGAGTCAAGTAACTCTAGGAGTCTTTATTCTTAGTTAAGAGAGTTTAATAGTTTTCTCGAGTAGTATTGCTCTGATAGGTATTCAAAACGGCGCTTCATGCAACGCCTAGTGGTTAAAGAACATTAACTTTTCTCTGGATTCTGAGAGATGATATGACCACAGTAGTAATGCATTCTCAAATCTCTAGAATTCTCTTGGCAATGGTCGTAGCATTTTCGTGTCTCGCAAAAGTGGCTCCTCAGGGCTGGCACGGTAAGTTGTGCTCCATTCTTTTACTCAGCTTTCACTTTAAACAGTTTCCAATGTAAAATAAATGTTTTTTGTCACTTGTAACAGTTGTTTTCAGTTAATTTTCAATTGAATAATTGAGTTGATAGGTAATTTTCTATTTTAGGTATTGGTTTTGATTGTTCTAGCTATTCAATACGAAAACTTTATCGTTTACTATTCAAGATCCCACTAAAACTTGTGGAGTTGGAGTTAGAAAACTTTGGAATCCATAAACGCAGAGAAGAGTTAAATTCAAAATATAGTTTATATTTATTTTAATTATTTTACAAAAATAAGCTTAACAATGCCGGTATTTTTACTAGTCACGGAGACTAAAATACGTATAGAACGAAATAGCACGTTATTCCTAAGGAAAACAAAAGAAAAATAAGAAAAAGTTTTTGCTTTCAAAGTTCTGATCCAAGATGACTTTGAATCTTTATGGCAGACATTTCTTTTCTTTTCTTTTCTTTTTTTTTTTTTTTGCATCGAGAGACGGTGAAACTCGATCCTATAAAATTGTTTGTAAAGTACATATWTAAAGTTAAACAATGGCTGAATGGAATGGTGCTTTATTGTTCTGAAGTGTCCTGTCTGTCGAGGTTTTGATTTTAAATGATGATAATAATGGAAGGTTCTTATATAGTGCATTTATACAACGTCTCAATGCGCTTTACATTTATGACCAGTGGAGGACTTTACGTGCTGCATATTAATATTATTAAAAATATTTTTTTAGCTAAAGAGTGGTTATTTCTTAGTACAGTTTGAATAGACAAAGAAGCGTTCTGTTGTAATTTCTAAGAATCTGGTTCCTTCTCAGTTTTTTGAAGAAAAAAAGGTTTTTTACCTTATTATCGGATTGTAGTGTTAATGATTTAAGATCGTGTTTGTTACATGGTTTTAAGGAATAGGATATTTTAAAATATATTAATGGTGCATATGTTACTACAGCAAATTTAGCTTTTGAAAGATTCATTCTCAGGCAAACAAGTTAATGTTTATTGTTGCTCGCGAATTCATTCGGTTGAAAAATTTAAAGAAATGAGAAAGAAAATGAACGAACAGAATTAAGTGTAGGGATGACAATGCTTGATAGGCAAAGTAAAGGAAAGAAATAGAAAAAAGAAAAGAGCTATGACAAGGAAAGAAGCATTGCGAGAAGGAAACAGGGGGACGAGGAAAGCAAAGGGCCGAAGGTAAAACAAAGAAAGCGGAAAATGRAGAAGCGAGAGTAAAATTTAAAAAAATGTATTTTCCGACTATTTTTCATCGCATATAAAGTGAAAATTAATTAATATATTTGTACCGACTTGTTAATAATTTCAAGTAAACAACGGCACACAAGAGAAAAGAGGACTACAATTAATCATTGTTGTTGTCATGAACAGTGTAAACTAATTCCTTACCAACTATTTTTTCATTTCCTTTATTCTTCGTGGTATTTATCCACGAGTTCTTAACTACCTTCAAATAGCAAATAATCCTACTTTGTGTSCGACGTCTGAACGTTCTGCCGGATCTTGGAGCAATTGCTATGGAAACCTTCAAATAGATCCAAATACAGCTAGATGCTATCTTTCTTCAGTGGTTTGGTCTGTGCTTATGAACAATTCATTATATTTTGAATAAATATTGTACGATTCAATGTAGACAGTCTGTGGATTGAATAAAGTCTGATGAGGAAATCCATCCATCCGTCCGTCCGTCCGTCCGTCCCTCCGTCCGTCCGTCCCTCCCTCCCTCCCTCCCTCCCTTCTCCCTCTCTCCCTCCCTCTTCCCTCCCTCCATCCGTCCGACCGTCCGTCCGTCCGTCCAACCGTCCATCCACCCACGTGACCATTATCAGCCAATCAGCTACGTAGACAATATYCATATCATTATATACATCTATCTAATATTTTCCAGACTGCCGCAAGCCACTTGGTATGGTCAGTGGGGCCATCCTCGATCAACAAATCCAAGCAGCTTCAGTGTATAACAACGAGACGACCTACGGTCCATCATTTGCTAGACTTGGTTTCCCTGGTGGCGGGTACCGGGCTGATCCTAATGCTGATCAGGCTTGGATCATGGTCATATTTACCAAGCCCACCATTATTACTGGCATAGCGACCCAAGGGTTTGGTGATGAGAGGATTCAAGAATGGGTTGACAAGTTTTGGCTTGGGTATTCGGATGGAGCAGTGAATTCGTACTTTAAGGATGTTAAAGGTGGAAAACAAGCAAAGGTCAGTTGAATATGCAATCTATTTTCGAGTTCTTTGTTGTTCATGGTTATCCTCGGACATGTGGTAGACTATAGACCTTCTCGGCTCGGGCGCGCTCATGCATAATGGTTTCCCATGTCATTCCCTACACTATTATTTCTTTCTTTAACGGTTGCGCTCGGTTGCAAATAAGAAGACACATGAATATGGATACAAATCAAACAAATGATCTTATTCTCAAAGGAATGACACGTGGTCTGAAATGGAAAACATTATGCCTGAGCGCGTCCTAGCCAAGGAGGTTCTATTCATGTATTCCAGTGCCGTAAGGTTCGTGGAATTTATAAGTGTTTGTATTTTTGGAGTTGMGCATTCTTTCTTTAAATGCCTCCGTTTGAATTTGAAATTACTGGTGCACGTGCATGGTTACCAAAGTTTTACCAGGAGTGCGAGGAAAAGAGGGTGGCTTACTAAGGATACAACTGAGAAATTTGAGCAAAAAGGGGAGGGGGTGGTGAATAGTCACCCACTTTACCACCCCTGGATCCACCTCTCATATTGCCCTCCACTCAGTTCAATTACTATTATTTACCGTTGGTATTTGTGAGTATTTTAATCCCGCAACAAGAGGCCAACCCTGAGAAAATGGATCTGTAAACAAGAAACACGACAGTCATGTGAATGTTCATGAATGACCTTTATGTATTTGTATATGTTTTTCCCCTCAGCAATTTGATGGTAATAAGGACAGCAACAGCATTGTTCGTAACGACATGCCGGTGCCTGAGTCTGTCATCACCATAAATATCATGCCTATCAAGTGGAACAAGAACTTTGCTATCCGCTTCGAACTGTATGGCTGCTTGGCAGGTGATGAAGCAAGCTAGAATAATTCACCTTTAGCAATAGAGGCTTTGAACCATTACGTGATGTCTCTCATAGGCCTATTCTGGTTTCGATAAACAGGTTGCATTGTGGTCTAGCTTGGGTACAAACTAGCCATATAAGGCATGATGTTCAAAAGATGTTTCTACCCAAGCTAGACCATTATACACCATGTTCACTATCTCAGAAAATATTTATGACAGCAGGCAGGAACAATTGTTGAATTAGATGTAATCTGATTTACATGATAAAGAAGTTAGTTCCCTAGAGGAAAAATACGCTATCGTTGTGCCTCCTGTCATGACTGCCGTCACGCGATGATGCAAAGCCTCTATTAAAACCAAAATTGGTGGGAACATTCTGGCACAAAGAGCTGTAAATCTGATCTAGGATTGACGTGTTTCAAAGCCTCTGCAATCTTGTATATGTGTCTCTAAAGTGTCAGTCAAGATCACGTGGAAMTGATGCTTTTTTCCCTCTAGCTCTGCTAACAAAATTGATGAACAATTGCATGACAAGGGGCTGCAGTGATTGATGACAATGCTTATGTGGAGATAGAGGTTCAGATCGTACAAAAATGATTGAAGCTGAATAAGCTCAACTTATTTTCAAACCCTAGAATGGGGTGTGAGAAATTACGAATGTTTCCTTRGGATTTCCGTGGTTTTGAAGTGCTGACTTGCATGACATTTGTATGATATCTTGAGTTCCTCGGGTTTATTCTTTCAGATGGATACGAGTGTTTGAGCACTCCATGCCAGAATAATGGTACATGTGTGGACATGGTTGCCAGCTATCACTGTAACTGTACAGAAGGATTCAATGGTACTAACTGTCAATACAGTGAGTAGAGATTATACATGTAGCTAGCCATGAGTAGTACATCTATCCATCCATGCATTCAACTTATCCCATTTATCCATCCATTTAGGTAACCAGCCAACCATTCTTTCCTTTCATTCACAGACCCACCAAGCAATCTATGCATCATTCGATCCATCTATCAATCCATCCCTCCCTTTTTTCGTCTCTCCATCCATTCACCCATTCCATCCATTCCTCCCCCCTCCATTCATTCCTCCCCCTTCATACGTCCCCCTCTCCATCCATCCCCCTCTCCATCCATCTTCCTCCCTCCATCCATCTTCCCATCTCCATCCATCTTCCCCTCTCCATCCATCTTCCCCTCTCCATCCATCTTCCCATCTCCATCCATCTTCCCGTCTCTATCCACCTTCCCCTCTCCATCCATCTTCCCCTCTCCATCCATCTTCCCCTCTCCATCCATCTTCCCCTCTCCATCCATCTTCCCCTCTCTATCCATCTTCCCCTCTCCATCCATCTTCCCCTCTCCATCCATCTTCCCCTTTCCATCCATCACCCCCACCATCCATCCCCCTTCATCCATCCATCCCCCCTTCATCCATCCATCCATTTACAGACCCACCCCACCCACACACTTATCCATCCCTCAATATTCCAACTATTATCATTCTTAATTTAACCAGATATAGACGACTGCGCCAGCTCTCCATGTAAACAGGGTGGCAACTGCACCGATCTTATCAACGACTTCTCTTGTGACTGTCCTCCTGGTTACACCGGCAAAACCTGCAATATAGGTAACTATGGAAACCACATGTTTTACGTAAGCCTTTGTCATATTTATTGGTATTTCGTTTAGATTAGTTCCTAATATTATTATATATGTATGTATATATATGAGTGTGTGTGTATATGTGTATATATATATATATTTTATTATATATAATTTCGATTGTGATTACAATATTTATTTATRTTATAATTTTAATGAATTAGATTAGATTTATTTTATATCATATATGTTGTAATGCGATGCTGATAATTTTATTGAAGCAGCGCAATATAAGTCAATAAATTATTATTATTTTTATTATATATTATAAGAAAAGTATCAATCAGTAATCGATTGCAATTTAKAGCTAATTAAGAGCGATCGATAGACAGCATCAGTAGCATGTACAGACTTTGGCTCGTCCCCAGTCGTCTCTTACGTTTTTCAGTGAAGTGCGCAAAAGGTCAAGGGAAGGGAAGAAAGAAGGGCACCCTTTGCGCACAACCGGTATATCAAAGAGGCGAATGGGGACAACTCAGGTACTGAGTATTTTTTTGTATTTTAATTGTTAATGAGCAATGCCCTAATTTCATTGCGCTCTTAATTCTGCTAAACTCGTTTTGCAAGTAAAAACTACGCTTGTCTATTGACTCTAGTCATTCTGTTCGTCAATGAATGTTTTAACTTTTGTCATTATTTGAAGACATCAACGAGTGCCTTAGTTCACCCTGTCAACATGGTGGATCCTGTAAAGATGTTGTCAATGGATATGAATGTACTTGTGTTCGAGGCTTCGGAGGGAAAAACTGCGAGGAAGGTAAGTTCTCTTGCGCATTATTCTATCATTGTTAAAGCAAGTCGCTTCACGAATGGAGATTTATTTTCCGCCATTTCAAGGGTCACCATTAATTCTGATTAATTCTGAGAGCTTGTCATTATTCAAGACTTCTTTGAAAACTTATTCGTTTAAATTAGCTTTTAATGTGTGACCTTTATTATTTTTCTGATTATCGTAATCATCATTTTTGTATTATTTTGTATTTCATCTTTCACAGCGCCTAGAGCAGCCCTGAATAAGTGCTTTATAAATTGTAATTACTATTATTATTATTATTATTATTATTATWATTATAATTATTATAATTATTATATCATATGTTGATTAAAACGTTACCAAAGGAAGGTTAATGCTCAAGGGAATGAAATATGATTTGAATTTAAGCTTGAAGTCATCTAGTGTTTTCCACCAACATGACAGAAATAAAGAACGCAACGTTGCGTAATGATTGTCCCATTGTCCTAAAAAATAGCAATAATTTTCTCTTTTTTTCAGAAACCGGATTTTTCTTAATTATTTGGCTTCAAATAAAAGGCAAGACGTTCACCATGGATTTCATGGACAGGAGTTCCGCTGCATTCAACACAAATGCCTTCCAGGCTAAACAACAAATCACCTCGATGATGTCTCTAGATGAAGGATTCTTGTCCTCCGATGTAAGACGCTTCAGGTAASGGACCGGGTTATTTATTGTCTTGGTTGGGTGGAGGTCAAAGGATTTGGGAGGGAAGGATCGGTACGTTACTTAGACAAACAGCAAGGGGGTGGATTATCTATACGTTGACTGGTATCAAAGGGGGATCATCTTSTTGGGGAGATTTACAGGTTAGTTGATTGTTATGATGTCGCAACAAAAATCCTCCGATCCCCACAGGCGACGCCAAATCAACCTTTCTTTGCATTCTAGTGTCCGAAAAGCTCCTGTTCTAAACAAGTTTTTTCTTCTATTTTTGATTCAGTCCAGACAGCTTTCTTGTGGTAGAGGTTTTGATTGAATGCCTTAGGAATAGTACTGGCCGTATCATGGACAGCATGGAAAGAAATATTGTCAATGGAGCTGGAATCTTTAAAAATGATTACATCAAGTTTGGAGACACAGGTATGAACGCTTTAACTATATATACAATAGTGCTATCCACGCACTYTCATATCTACTTATCTATCTACTSTCTTACCTACCTACCTAACTGCCTGCCTGCCAAACTGCCTAACACCCTATACCAACTCTCTCTCCCTACTAACATAACTACCAACCACCAACACTTCTCTACCTACCTACCTACCTACCTACCTACCTACCT